AGCGCTCAGCGCCACGCCAGCGGTCGCGCACACACTCCTCCCCGCCGGCCGCCCATCTCTTCCCGTCCAGTGCCTCCTGGTCCAGTCGGAGTTCGCGGGTTGCCTGTGGGCATGCTGACGGGAACCTTTGTGTGTTTCGTTCTCAGAGAAAGATAAGGGCCAGCAGGGAAAGAATGAGGACGTGGGAGCCGAAGACCCATCCAAAAAGAAGCGGCAGCGGCGGCAGCGGACTCATTTCACCAGCCAGCAGCTGCAGGAACTGGAGGCCACTTTCCAGAGGAACCGCTACCCGGATATGTCCACGCGCGAAGAAATCGCCGTGTGGACCAACCTTACGGAAGCCCGAGTCCGGGTAGGAGCCCGCGTGGAGCCTGAGAGGGCTAGACGGGAGGGCATTGTAGAGATGCAGGCCGTGTAGACCGGGAGGGAGTCTGGAAGGCGGCGCCTCCGGGAGGGCGCGGGTGGGGCGCCTCTGGGAAGGCAGAAGGCCTCTCGGCGGGCCCAACCGCGAGGTTACAGCTCCCCCTTCCGAGGCCGCCGCGGCCCGGTACTGGGGCCCCCGGAGCGGCACCGCTCCACGCCGCGCCACCCAGCGCCCTCCCAAACTGGGCCGCGTGGCATTTCTTTGCACAGGGTATTGTGTTCCCGGCTTGCGGTCGCCAGGCGAGCGCTAATTAAATCCCTCCCAGGCCAGAAGCCGAGAACAGGCTCCAACCTGCGCGCCTTTAACCAGGAAAACCGGCCAGAAACACGCGAGGGTTGGCCCTCCCTGGGGAACTTTCGCGCCCGGCCCTGCGCGTTCTCTGTTCGTCTCGCGCTCCTCGCTGGGTCTTTGCGGGGTTCGGCCGCTCGGGTTTCCGACACCCCGCACCCTGGTTTTGTGAGCCCCGGAAGCCATTTTAATACACAACTACCATCCTGCTAGTTTTCTTAGAAAGGAAAAAAAAGAACACTTTTCGACTTGGTTTATTTATCTTTTCTCAGGAGATTGTTACACCCTTCCTCCCAGCTGTGATAGTTTTATCAAAGAAAGAGCTTACCTTTGTAGCAAATCTGTGCTTTATGGATTGGCAAAAGTGAACTTAAATCAGTTACCCAGTAGCAATATCCTGTTTACGCTGGTCTGCGGGAAACTCCAAAATTGTTAGGATTCTGGAAACAGAAAACACTCATAGGATCCAGAGGCTTTGCTGAAAAAAATAAAAATAAAAAAAACAAACAAAAAACAAAAAAATGCTCTGGATAGAGCCCCAGCCAGGACAGAGAGAGCAGAAAGAAGAAAGCATAACAGTGGTGATGAAAAGAATTGAGGCCCCAGAGCACTCGCAGAGCAGAGGGAACGAAGACACTCTCGGGGGGCGTTTGTGGAAGGTGTGAGGCTCCGCTGGAGGTGAAAGAGCCGGGTTGGAGTTGGAAGTGGTTTTAGTTTAACTGCGCGGAGCTGGAGCTCCAGCGGGCCGGCGTGGTTTTGCGAAAGGTCAGTCTTTCATTAGACCTCCTGCGCAACAGGAGAACGCGCCTCTCACGTACTCTTCTCGCCTGGGCAAAGTTTAGACAGCGGAGGGTAGAAATGGCAAGTTATTAAAATAAAAACACAATCTGTGGGCTCTGTGGAATCCTCCGGAAAAGCCCTCCCCCAGTCCTCTGGATTCTCTTCGGTCCCTCCCAAGTCCCCCGCCGCCGCCCACGCTGGGCTCTCACTCCCTCCCGCTACCTTCTTCCAGGCCCCGCGGCTGCTGCAGCCAAGGGGGAGTGAGGCGCGCTTTTTATAGCAGGCCGGTGCAAAGAGGAAGGGGGACACAAAGGAAATAGAGAATGAAAGGGAAAAAAGCGGATTAGTCGGCGGGGCCCGACTGAGACGTGTAATGTGAAACAACCACCGGTGTCAACTCGGAAATCTCCGACCAGGCCTCGCTCCAATACACAAAAGCCACCGTCTGGGGCGACCAGCGGTCCCTATGTGGATTGAGAGCGGGGTTGCGGCGGGGCCATGGGACGCGGGTGGGGGCTGGCTGAGCTGGGCGGCCGCCTGCAAAGCCAAGCGCCGCGACTGGGCCCAGCGGGAGAGCCTGGGCGGCGCAGACCTGGCCTGGGAGGGACAGAGGGTGAGAAGAAGGGGAGCAAAGGGAGGGGGAGGCTGCAAAGTGACCCTTTCTGGGTTCAGAGATTTACGCGCGAGTTCATTGAGTTTAATGAACTCAGGCCTTTCGCTTTTTACTTGGTTATGTTGGTGAAGAAGGGGGTCGAAGCCTGGCACGGTGAAGGGAGGGCGCAAGTTCCCTGGACTGGCAGACGGCAGTGGAGATGGGACTGAGGAGGGAGGAGCTGTCTGGGAGAGAGAGCGGGCTCTGGTGCCCTCTCAGCCCCTGGTCCTTCCCTGGTCCTCACAATTGAGTCTGTGGCTTTGGAATGAAAACAAGCTTGCAAGGTGGCCAGGGAAGAGTTGGTTGGAAAGCCCGCTGACCCACGTTTATTTTTGTAGTAAGTGTTTTTGGACCCCAAGGGGGCCAGGGTTACAGAGCAAGCTGCGGCACGCCGCCAGGCGTTCCGCTAGGGTTTGTGGCGAAGCTCAGAGCCCGGGCTCGCAGGCCTAAGCCACCCAGCCGCCCTCGTTCGGTTCGACCTCCGGACTGGTAGTGCCTGCAGCAGAGTTCCGGCAGCTTGGGGCGCGGGGCATTACGTTGGTGAGGAAACTGGTAGTACCTTGGGCGTGTGTGTGTGTGTGTGTGTGTGTGTGTGTGTGTGTGTCTCGGAGAGGAGTTCGCCGCTGGTGCTCTCCGGCATCAAGGTTTTACTTATCCGATCTGTGGCGTCTGTTTGCTCCCTGCCCTCCACCTCAGGTTTGGTTCAAGAATCGCCGGGCCAAATGGAGAAAGCGGGAGCGTAACCAGCAGGCCGAGCTGTGCAAGAACGGCTTCGGGCCGCAGTTCAACGGGCTCATGCAGCCCTATGACGACATGTACCCGGGCTATTCGTACAACAACTGGGCCGCCAAGGGCCTAACGTCGGCCTCCCTGTCTACCAAGAGCTTCCCTTTCTTCAACTCTATGAACGTCAACCCCCTGTCCTCTCAGAGCATGTTCTCCCCGCCCAACTCCATCTCCTCCATGAGCATGTCGTCCAGCATGGTGCCCTCGGCGGTGACCGGCGTCCCGGGCTCCAGCCTCAACAGCCTGAATAACTTGAACAACCTGAGCAGCCCATCGCTGAACTCCGCGGTGCCGACGCCCGCCTGTCCTTACGCGCCGCCGACTCCTCCGTACGTTTATAGGGACACATGTAACTCGAGCCTGGCCAGCCTGAGACTGAAAGCAAAGCAGCACTCCAGCTTCGGCTATGCCAGCGTGCAGAACCCGGCGTCCAACCTGAGCGCTTGCCAGTACGCTGTGGACCGGCCGGTGTGAGCCGCGCCCACGGCGCCGGGATCCTGGGACCGCGCGGGACGTGGGCAATTCTGCCCTCAAAAGACTGGGAATTACGCTAGAAGGTCGTGGGCGCTAAAGAAAGGGACAGAAAGAGAAGATAGAGAAAAGGAAACCACTAAGTTAAAGAGGGAACTCCCTTGATTTTAAAGGAACTTCCTCAGTGTCTGACATCCTTCACTAAAAGTATTTCCAATAGTTGCAAGGACACACACAAATGTTTGACTGGATATGACATTTTAACATTACTATAAGCTTGTTATTTTTTAAGTTTAGCATTGTTAACATTGAAATGACTGAAAGGGTGTATATATATCGAAATGTCAAATTAATTTTATAAAAAGCAGTTGTTAGTAATATCACAACAGTGTTTTTAAAGGTTAGGCTTTAAAATAAAGCATGTTATACAGAAGCGATTAGAACTTTTCGCTTTCAAGCAAAGGAATGTATATACTAAATACCACACTGTATGTTTCTAACATATTATTATTATTATTAAAAATGTGTGAATATCAGTTTTAGAATAGTTTCTCTGGTGGATGCAATAATGTTTCTGAAACTGCTATGTACAACCTACCCTGTGTATAACATTTCGTACAATATTATTGTTTTACTTTTCAGCAAATATGAAAAAAATGTGTTTTATTTCATGGGAGTAAAATATACTGCATACAAATTGGTTTGGATTATTTCTGCCCTCCTCTGGCTTGGCCAGGCCTTCTCAGTCACAGCCTACTAAACAAACCAGTTCTCTCTGCCTGCCCACTTAGAACTGCAAGGCAGCAGCACTTATTTAAGTTTGGTAGAAATTCATTATGGCCATTCATCAGAAACAAACAAAAAAGGCACACCCAGGAAAAAAAAGAGCTGCAAAGTCTAGTCTTGTCTTTCAGATCTTTCTTTGGCTGAAACCTGGAGAGTTCCATTATTGCTAGTAAATAATGTAAGAGAGAAAGAAGAAAGGAGAAATTTAGAAAGTGCACCAGCGTGGAATTACTGTCATCTGCTCCTGGGGGAGAGGAGTGGGGACACTGCACCTCCAGTAAGTTGTTCTGGAGAAGTATGTGGGTATGTGTACAAGTACAGTTTATATACATTCCTCTAACAGGAATATATCTGTAATAAGTTTACAAGGCAACACCTCTGGTTCAAAATATTTAGTCTTCCACGTTTATCTTTCAGGCTTAAGTAGAGAGATTCTTCATGTTATATTGCTTTACTATTTCCAAATCCTTTCGAGACATTAAAAGAAACAAAGACAGTTTCTAATAACTACAGCCCCTTCGTTTCTCAAAGAGCCCAGGGGTTGAGAGGTTAGAGTGGAGTTTCCTGAGTCTTGTCGAGCAATATGTAGTTGAGACAAAGGTCATGCTCCCCGTGTTTTGTTTTAAATAATATTGACCCATTAATTCTAAACCTGCTTGTTCCTGAAATTATACAGGATTATAGTTTGCAAACTGCGGGACAATGATGCAAATCAAGATGAATTACAGCCTTGGCCCTCCCATCCTCTGACTTCTAAACGGGGAATGAGGATCTAGGTGAGAGTTTGAAAGAACTTTAAACAGCCACTTTTCCTTTGTCGGTGGTTTTCAGGGTTGGTTTGTTTGTGTTTTTTTTTTAATGTGGAATTTGATTTTGTAACAAATAGTAGCAGATACGAGTTAGTCCCAAAGAACCCATCGCCGTGGCGCTAGGAGGGTTGGTAGGGGAGAATGGAGTTCTGAGATCTTTCATTTACTATTCTGGTCAAAGCCTCCCCGCACCCCCCAAGTGGGCGAGGACAAACCCCACCCTGGTGGAACCGGGAGCGAAAAGCAGCCGGCAGTTCTGTGGAGCAGAGAAAACCTATGTTTTTGCGCTTTAGGTGTCTTTTATCTGACTGAAACTTTACCCACAAGCTTTTGGAACGCAGACACTGAGTCTGTTGTGCATGGGACTGCTGCTGCCATTTAAAGAGATCGGAGATAACTCCCCCGATTTAAGATCTGTGCTCAATGCACATTAACTTTCTTTCTTTCCTTTTTAAGCTCTGCCTCCAACCTGTGAAGAGATCACGCGGCAGTGGGGGGCAGATAAAAGCCCTTTGGACGAGGGTCACCTCTGTCCTTGTTGTTCACGTGAGAGCACTGGAGAGGAAAACGGTCCCCAACCGCGGACTTTGGCTTCTGGAGCGGCAGGGCCCACGGTGCGGCTGCCCAGAGTCTCCCGCCTGGTGTGGGGGAGGGGCGGGGAGGGCCGCAGGGTCTGGGGGAAAGGGTTTGGGTCTGGGGGCGGCTGGAAGCGCTGAGGAGACCCGCTGGATGGATTTGCGTCTCTTGTGGGTCCTAGAGTGACTTGGGTGCGCTGGGGACAGGAGGTGGGTCTCGGCCTTGTTTGCTTGCTGAAGTAGAACTTTATTTCGAGGGAATCAATCAATCTGCAGGAGACAAAAAATGGAAGTCGAGGTTTGGGGAGAGTTGGCACTTTCCAGACTTGAGTGGCGCGGGCTCCGGGGGCGGAGACTCGGCGCTGCTGAGAGGCCGTTCTCCCACCTCAGCTCCTTTCCCTGCACTTCCAGCAGCAGCAGCAGCAGCAGCGGCGGCGGCAGCATTACCACCCTCCTCACCCCCTTCCTCCTCACACTACCCCGCTCGCCCGCCGACCCTTTCTGCACTTCTTCCCTTCTAGCGAGAAAAGCCTAGTTCCCGAGCTAGTGGAGTCGGTCCCCTCGCTTCTCCCGCTCCCACGACGTCCCCCCTCCAGACTTTGCTACTGCCACCAACTCGGTTCCACTCAATCGATTTTCGCTGCATGTCAACACTTATCGCCGGTGAGTGTGAGGGTGATTTTTCTCCTTCTCTAGGTCTCTTAATGATTTCTGAGCTAGTTGTGTATTAAAGTGCTTAAATGAATCTTTAGGTAATCTATAGCATGAACACCACCCTCCTCCGCTGGGGATCGAAGATGGCCAGCCTGAGGTCGGCGGGCGGCCCAGGCCCCGCCGGCCCCCGCCCTCCTCGGCCACCCCCGCGCCCAGGGGCTGGGGCCCGGGCAGGAACCGGCGCGATGGGTCTCGGTCTGAGAGCTTCCCTCCCCCACCACCTGTGACTCTAACCCTGTCTCCCGCCAGTCCTCGGTTTTTAATCTTTTAAAAATTTCTAAGGCCCCAAATTCTTCCCCTAATTCAAATTGGTGAAGACCTGGGGAAAGATGTGTAGAGCTCACGTCTGTCTCAATTTTCTCCCAGTTCCTAAATGTGAGTTCGTCTACAACTTGATTAGACATTTAATACCTGCCCCCGCCAAAGTTGGGTAGCTAGGGCCCAGCACGCGGCTTGATTAGGAGGCAAATCCTCCCCCTCCGCCTCTGAGCCTTGCTTTTTAGTCCCACCCCCATCCTCATCCTGAAAGGTGCTGAAACCCGGGAGTCTGTAGGAGTGTAACAGCAACCACCACAAAATTAATGGGGAAAAAAATAAAAAGCGTCTTAAAAGTCCCAATACTCCTCGAAAGCCCCATAAATTAACCCTGTAAAGATGGCGAGCTCTTTTAAGGCGAGTCTATAAAAACCTGGCCCTATCTGGAAGGAGGACACCCTCCCCGCCTCTCCCGTCTCCAGTGTGTCCAAACAAAGGTCTGTCCTGCAATCCACATCCTACTCCGGGTGCCCACGTTGCTGTCGCCCGGCGCCTGGGCCAGCGGTCGCCCACAGCCTGCCCAGACAACGCAGGGAGTCTCTGGTTCCAGGGCTGAATTTTTTTTTTTTTCCCCCGGAGTGGGAGGTTGGTGGGGAGAGATAGAGAGAGAGAGGGAGAGAGAGAAGGAGAGAGGAGGGGGTGTAATCAGATCAGAGGTCTTTATGAATATAGAGTCCCTACTGATTGACATAAAACCCGGCAGGCTGCAGTTGATGCATGCTCACAGGGAAGAAGAAAACGTGGCTGACTGAGACAGCACAGGTCGGAGTAAAGAGGAAAAAATTAGTGTAGCAGATTTTTCAGGAAGAATTAAAAAAAAACTATCCTTTCTCCCCAGCCTTTCTAATGTGAGGATTGTATTTTAACTGAACTTGAGAAAATGATGATTGAGAATGAGGTTTAAAGTTAAAAAAAAAACAATGAGTTAAGTAGAAACACTACTGTAAACACATAACTAATTTACCTTCCCTGGTTTTAGCAGGAAAAAACAGGGTAATTTTACTCTGATCTTAAAAGTTTATTTAACACCCTTGTCCCTCCCACCCTCCAAGAAGAGTGGCCTTCTCCTCACTGTTGACATCCCTCCTGAAAAGACAGAAATCAAAATTTCTTATGTTTGGAATGCATAATTTCATTCATTTCTGTGCTGAGGATTTTATGTAGCTGTTGATTTTAGATTTTGTTTGTGGGTTACAGAAGGCCTGCAAGAAATAAAATATCCCATTAAATATTTAATTCTACTTAATTACCTCTTTTAGAAAATCTTTGCTATTCTTGTAGCAACAGTGCTTTAACAGCTCAGTGGCAGTTGTGGAAAACAGAATTTGAGGCTTAAGTTACTCAGCCAAAGAATGGGTAAAACAACTGTCTAAATTTCTTTTTAAAAATATTTTTAAGGTTTTAATGAACACATAGTATCAGTGTTTATTTTGGGGGTGTCCTGTGGGAGACTGCATGTTTTCTCTTCTCTCAGAAGGGCTAAGAGAAGTTCACACTCTCTGGGCCTTCCTGGGGCAGGGCGCGCGTCTGCACTCCCTGACTTTGATGGATCTTTCCAGACCTAGTTCTCCTATTCTTATTGGGAGAAAAAAAAAGTTGATATCCTTCTTCTCTGGCTCTTTCTTCCCCTATCTTCTCATTGTACCATATTCTTTATCCACACCAAAGTAGCCCGCCACTCCCCACCCCCCTTCTTATCGACTTAGAAAATGGCCTGCTGCTGCTGGAACCTGCTGTACTCTGACTGCTGCGGGTGGTTCCTTAAAGCCAAGACGCTCTGGACCAAGGGTTCTTTCGTCCACACGAAGCAAAGCCTTTCTGCATCCGCCTTACAATTTGCAGCACTGCGCCCCCACCGCCAGTGCTTGCCAGAAACCTTGATCCTCCTCGCTCCAGGAAGATGAGACCTAATAGGGTCTTTGCTGTCCCTGGACAGGCGGTGGGGCAACATATGAATGTGACTTGGAACCCAAAATAGTGGCTGGCAACCCAGTTCCTGAGCGCTTTCCCCGTTCTGTTTGTGCCACCAGCCTCAGGTCTGCTCCTCTGAGCGGATATCTGGGTGGGGCTGCTGCACCCTGCTGAAGTTTGATGGCACCTTCTCGGCCCTCCCAGATGGACCGCAGGGGCTTCTCCTGTCACTTCACACATCTGCCTGAGTTCGGTTGACTGCGAGTCTCTCTGACTGACTCCCCTCTCTGTGTGGGAGCCCAGGGTGAGACGAGGGGGGCGGGCCAGGGAGCACTGAAGTGCACAGAGTGGAGACCCTGCAGGTATTCCCTTAAGTGCCAAGAAGCGGGCTTGGCCTATCAGAGAGCAAGGTCACTTTGTTTGAAAATAATACCAAACAAAAGGAAGTAAAATACGGCCCCTCTTCTGTGGGTGCCGGGCCTGGGAAGATAGTCACTCACTGACTTCGGTGCCTTTAGCCCCCGCTTAAAATCGGTGAAATGGTAGGAGCCACTTCTTATCTGATGAGGCAGGGTCTTGTTTATTTCCCTGACGGGGCGGGGTGCGGGGGGGCGGGGAGTGTGCAAAACATTCCGCCTGCAAATGCTTGGCTGCAACTCCCGGTACAAATCTCCCCAGCTCGGAACCTCCTGTCCTTGTGCAGCCCGCGGGACTGTTAACCGCCCCAACACTGGAGAATAGCCGTTTGGACAGCTAGCCAGGCCCTTTGCGACCCATGGATGCGGTAGGGCCGCGTAGCTCAGCTCTTAGAAGGCCCCAGGTGCTGCCGCTCCACCTGCAGGTGCCCCCAGGGCGCCTTCGCCTTGGGCCTCGCTGGCCGCCCGAACCTCGGCTCGGCCACAGGCTTGTCCTGCTGCGATCAGTTGACCAGAACAGCTGCTTTATCTTAATGTTCATGTTTTGGCTGGCGACCTGGGTTAAGGGTGGTGGCAAGATCTGCCGCCTCGCGGTGTCCTGACCGTATTTTCAGAGGGCCACCCACGCACCTCCGAAGACCCTTCTCGGGTCAGGCACTCGTGTGGGCACGTCCCTCCGGACAGCAAAACCGAAATCTAATCCGCAGCTGCCACCGCCCCTCCCCTCCCCCGGGCCCCAGTATCCCCGCTTGCGTTCCAGCCCCGAGGCCCCGGCGACCAAGGAAAACCCATTGCTAGGGCTGCGCGGACGGCCCTCAGTGGGGCTTGGGCGGAGCGCCGCCCCAAGGAGCCCTCCCGCGGCCCCCGCACGCGCCCGCTCCAGGCCTGGCGTCGTCGTCGTCGTCGGGGTCGGTCGGGCCCAGCGGGCGCGGCCTTCAGGCTGAGCCCGCCTGGACGCGTGCTGGGCCCAGGCTGCGGCGAAGGAGTCTCCTTCCCGTCCTTTCTCACCCTTTCTGCACCTTCTGCGCCTTCGCTCCCAAGCGGCCATATACCTTGAATGGGTCACCCCTGCCTGGCTTCCCGGGAGCTGCCTCTCGAAGCCCTGGGGTTGAACATTAACCAGCCGTAGCTATAGAGTAGGGTAAAACGTTACATATAAAAATGAATCATCTATCTGCCCCTGGGAGAGGCCCTATGGCGAGCTCTGCGCCCAGAGCTGCCTGGACTGGTCCCCGGTCAAGTCCCTGGCTCAATGCACCGACCCTTTTGGCAGCCACCTCTCAGGGTCCCTACGGCCACCGGCGGCTGAGGTCGGATGGGGGCTGGAGGTATGGGGGTCATCCAGCCGGCCTTTCTCCTGAGGTAGCAAGAAGTTAAGGCTTTATAACACAAGCGAAGTTCCTTTCATTTCACACTTGAGATACACAGAAAAGTGTCTGGAACAGCTTTCGTCTCCTACAAAGGTTAGCAGCTGAAGTTTTAGGAGAAGAGGCTGCCAGCGGGGTGGAAAACCCAGGCTGAGCAGTGGACTCCGGGGATCGGTCGTTAGCCCGGGCGCTTGTGCTAAGGGTGGACGCTGGGAGGCAGACCTGGGAGAAGGGGGAGGGAGTGGAGGCTGAGCGAAGGCGCGCTGTGGGCGGTGCAACTGGTGCTGGACTGCAGCGCAACCGGCGCTGGACCTGGCCAGGCGGGGAGCTGAGACCACCGGCAGGACCTGGCTCCGATGGCACCTCACCCCGTGCTCGCCTGGGCCCTGCTTTCTGATCCTGACCTGTTTGTTTCTTTAAACACAAGCAACAGAAAGTAACAGTTATACTTCGACACTGACTTTATGTGCTAGACTCACGTGCCCAGGGTCAAATATACAGAACTCACAAAAAAATCACAGAGCTGGAGAAAGAATTCAAGACAGTG